ATCCACAAAACAGGTAGGATCTTCAAAGTGTTTACATCTGGTTCAAAAGAAGTGTCTTGGTAGTGATGGTGGTTCCAAATTCAAATGATAACTAAAGACAGCAAGACAGCTTCAATGCCTCAACCAGAAGGGAAGTCCTTCTTCTTCACAACCGTCAACAAAAAAAGACCATTGTACCAAAAAGACAGATGTACATCAAATGCAAGCAATTCCAAAAACAATTTAACAAGATAAATAATTCAATATACAGAAAAAAACACAAAGTGCTTACGTATGTTGCATTGTAAGTGATTTTTACCAACATAGGACTCCTTGGATGAAATCGGATCGCTTTATCCGCCACGAATCTTTCAGCACCGTTTCACCTGCTCGGGTGGACCTCCTAGCTAGTCACACGAGAAAATGCTAAATTCATCTCTAATTTGAACACTTTGGATTTCATGCAGTGGATTTATAGGAGTAAATGTGTTGCATTACAGTGACTGACAGGGTATAAAGGTTTGTGACCCTGAATGGGGAAAAAACAGCCAACGAACTTTCCTCTGGTTCCCAGTAGCTGAATTTAATTAACTGGCATAACATCAAAACATTAATTTCATATCAAATGTGGGCTGTTTGGGCTCAGTATTTTGCAAGCTCCACTCACATGAAAAACAAACCGATACTTTCAAACCTCCAATAGTATATCCTGCATACATTTTTTCTTTTTTTTTAATTAGCCATTTTATATGCTGGAGTCTGTGACCGTGAGAAGTTAATTGCCTGAAAATCAGCTCTGAATGGTCTATCAGGTTTTCTGTTTGTTCTGCTTCTGCACTGCAAGTTTGTTGTGTTTGCGGCGATGGTCTGAGTTATTGTGCATAATGCACGGCGATGAAAAAACAGAACACGTGCGAGGACATCGCAGCACACTAAGCCTCCGCCGTAGCTTTATGTATGAGGGCATGCAGACCTGAATGATAAATCCGATTTCGCAATGTGACAAGGCCGGACTCACACACTATCATTGTGTCTGTACACAGTTTATAAAAATCAGTAACTGCACTGGGATTGGCTGCAGCATAAAATGACATTTGGAGGCTGTGTTTCTCGTGGGGCGGCAAATTGAATCGTGAGGCATTTGGGTGGGTGGGGGGGGAGTGGGCATTTAATACGGGCCTGGGAGCAGAGAGCGGCTTACAGTGGTGAAGAGGAACAGAAACAAAGGCCAGATGTTTGGATTTCAGCAGAAGGGAAATGCACAGGACAACAAAACGGGAGTTGGGATTTAGGAAGGGCTGCGATTCTGCGTGCATTTTGGCATCAGGACTGAATTTCTAAGGGAACAAAAGGAAGAACCGCATTTTGTTTTATAAAAATGCAATGATAATGCACAGAGGAATGACTTTGCCACCCCACTTTGGGGTGTCCATATCTCTCCTGATCTTATGTATTTCAAGGTGAAATTTTAGATAATGTTACTCAGGATTGTTTTGAGCTCTTCGCAGATCTGGTTTAACAACGAGCAAAGTTAATGTTTCCCATATTTACATGACACCCCAGCTCCAGGAACCAAGGATACGATGAAGCAGGATGATGAAGAGTAAAGTGCAATGATGGAAATTAAGTTTAGGTCTGATGACATAATCCGACTTAGCATTCTGGATTTCCAAATTGAGTCAGCATTTTTATGGGCGTGCTATTTCTGGGGCGGTGAGCTTGTTCTTGGTCACCCCGTCAAACGCAGAACAGGGAGCTTTCAGCCAAGGCGAGGGGGGAGATCGCTCACCTCCAGTGGGGATTGCTTTTGTTGATCGTGAGCGACTCGTCCTCATGGCCAGCACACTATGAAGATGCCACACCACCCACTTCGGACAGCTGCCCCGAGCACCCTCGCTCAGCACACACTGAAGATCTGCGCCACTCTCTAGAGCAGGGGTCACCAACACGGTGCCCGCGGGCACCAGGATGCCCCCAAGGACCACATGAGTCGCCCGCGGACCTATTATAAAAATAGCACAACTCACCAGTGAGCAGTGTCTAAAATGTAATTTTGTCCTGTTGGTATTCTTCTTTAATCACATTTGCATTTATATAGATAAATAACAAAAAAAAGCATTTAAAACAAGTTTATTATACATGAAGTTCGTTATACATAAGTTTAGGAGGGCGTTTCAAACTGGTAGTCCTTCATATGGCTCAGTACCCGTGAAGTAGCTCTCAGTTTCAAAAAGGTTGGTGACCCCTGCTGTAGAGACTCCAGGGCACAGCACCAAGGCCTTAGTGCACACTAGCATGCTCACTGGATTCAATAAAACTGTCAGTCAGAATACAGAGCAATCAGTGCTTAACTCAGCTGTCCCACAGCAGACATAATGCAGTGCTGTCATTTAACATCTGATTGGCTCTATTCTCACTGTTTCTGAATTTATACAACACTGAAAAACACTTCTTGGGATCACGGTGATAACATGCTGGCTTGTATGTGACAGTATCAGAGCTGGGAAACAGACAGGACTAGGGACCAAAATACAGCAGACTGCAGAGTTTATTCAGAAGCCAGGGCAAACTGAGCTTGAATCAGCGGGATGGAGATGCGGACGGAGTCACAGAACATGAGTGATCGAAGGCCGGGGAAATTATTCCTACAGACACACAGCGGACGGGAGGCAGGAGCGCAGGCTAGAAGAGGCGGGCAGGCAGGACGGGAGCAGCAGGACAAGATGAGAGACAGGGTCAATTGAACGCTCAGTACGGCACATTGAAAAATGGCAACAATACTTTGCAATGATGGCGCAAAGTCGTCAGCGTTTCATGCACTGAGCCTGGTGAAACCACTGGCAGTCTGCTAATTGGAGGGCCCCGCCCCGTTCGGAGGGACAGATACTTGGGATAAATATGAGCCAAGTCTAATTCTTATAACCACTAGCATCTTCTTTTACGGGCGAGCGGCAGTGAATGCTGCAATGGCTGAGCAGGCCTGTATGTCATTTCGGGACTGGGACTCCAATAGCGATCTCCAGGAGCGCGCTTTGTGCCACGGCTTTGGAAAGCAGCAGTTATAATTTATTGCTGTAAACTAATCATTGCCTTGTATTTCTTGTAATATAAGAAACGGCATGGCAGATACCATACTAATCCCAGTCAAGATAACTGGTTTGTCAATACAGCTCAAAAACGAAAACCACAGAGACTGTCAAAGATAGTGTGTCGCAGAAGTGGGAATGCATTTTTTAAAAAAACAACGGCAATGACTATAGTCCACAATCCATCATTGTCATCATCACTTGGATGAACACCAGAGATTTTATCATCCCGCGTGGGTATTTCATGCAGCTTTTCATGGCAGCGACAAAAAAAAAAAAAAGACTTCTTAAAGATTAGAGAAATTTGAAATGCAAACTGAAGTCAAGAAAATTATCTTCTGTTTAGTTGATTCTGTTTATTCAACAAGATCAGTTTGTTGCATCAAGCAATATTTCAGCATCTGTGATGGTCTGGTGGCCAATCCCAAGGTCCATGCCGCCTCCCTGCCTTCCAAAGCCTGGCTCCAGATCAGTGTGGCTCTGTTTGGATAAGCAGTTATTTATACTTATGGATAAAAATGCTTGTCAGTTTTGGCACATTGCTAGTAAGTTCCTATTGATCAATGAATCCAGTCTAGGCAAGAACAGCCCATTACAATTTGCATTATGTCTTGATTTTTATGTTTATATTATGTTTATAATATTCAATTGAAGGAACAAATAAAAAACATTGAATAAAACCCAATAATATTATTTCTTATTATTTACAGTGTGTAGTTTGCAAGATCTAACTTCGGTATATTACCAAATAATTTAATGAGAACCAAGGGTGTAGTTAGAGATTTATATATAGGGGGGGGGTATTCATGACTTAAACCAATAAATACACATTTTTTAGTGGGGGCATTTTTTGGGGACTAAAAGGGGTACAATTACACCCCTGATGAAAACACTGAAATTACTGGTACATAATTGCAGATTAAAGCTAGTTGTCTCCCCAAAGCATTTACAGCTTCCAGTACTAGAATGCACTCCCTTTAAACACATTTAGATGTTACCCCATGTCAAACACATGATGAACACTGAGCAACCACAATGCTACAGGGGAAACAGATAGACCACAACTAAGCACTGCAGTCTGGTCAAGATGGCTACCAGTATTATCATACTCAATAATGTAGGGCTTAGGAAAATGCCTTTCTCTCAGCCAAGCCAATACCAAAAAAGGTGTTAGATAATTTCCACAATGATTTCTGTTGTTTGTTAAAAATGTATAGGAATACACACAGTGAGTTTAAAAGCATCTATCTAATGTATACATACAGTGAAACATCACGACATGATGATAATTCATTCATCAAAATCTTCTAGATCATACAGGAATATGATTTATTTCTCTGTTTGTAAGATGACTGCGTGATGTAATGCTACGTAATGTTCTAAAATTCTGTTTAAATGTTTATTTCAGGCACTAATGGCGCTAACTTTACCGTTACCAGTGGAGCTGTTCAACCTCGTGGTGCTGAAAACGTAAGTTTTATTATGTGTTAGCTTTTTCTATGGTTCATATTTATTTTTATTTTTTTAATCGTTTTATTTCCTTCAGTTTCCTTTTTTGCCATTACATTGTTTAAGATATGTTGATTGGTTTATTACGATTAATTTATTTTACGGTCATTTTAGTTATCTGGTCGGAGTTATTTAAAGTGTAATTATATGCTTTTAAAAGCTTAAATGTGCTAATACAAACGGGAATTTCAAAGTCCTTCATATTCCCTTGATCACTTCTGCCCTACGCATTTTTACAATTCATCTCCTGGTCAAAATCACGATACCGTACAGCGCATTGATCATTGCACATTAGGCCCGTTTGATTGCATCCGTCATCTACTCGCCCACAGAGCTGATCCAAAACCCACTGCCAACGCTGCATCATGGGCGCAGAACCGGGCACATCCAGGAGCTCGGTGGCTCATAGCTCATTCATAACAGATCCTAATGGGGTGAGAAGACAGGACATATCAAGGGAACTGGCGCCATCATTCCTTCAAAAATTAATTTATAAAATATACTACCCTAAGGGTCTTGCAGTTGGAAATTGGCACTTGTGGCTGCGAGGAGTCACTCACCATGTCATCTTTTAAAAACCAGCCACCGTATATGAGACTAGTCATGCAATACGGCATCTCTGCTTGACAACCCAACGCCTGCGCTCTTTCCCTGTTTATATTCGTGCTCATAGTCGGGAAGATTCATGATCGATTGATTGGTGTTTCATTTTTTCCTTGGGAACATTTTCTTTTTGTTTCATCCCTCTTTCACAGAAATTTTCTCAGCATCCCTGCTGTCTTTGTCAGGGATACCTAAATCTAACAACGGTTGCTGTCTTCACCAACCTCCGACGTATTTATATGTATCCAATAATAGCCTACATCCAGAGAAACAGTTCAAACCAGAATCATAATGTGAATATATTTTAATATCTTACGAGCGTTGGGAACGTGTAGCACCACTGATCATTTACTTGTTTAGTTATTTATTGTCTAATCTGCAGGACGATATCCAACCGCAGTCATTGAAAATGCACGCATCGATCGCTTAAAAATAAACTACATATTAAATGGGCTGTGCGTTTATCATTTCGTGGCAAGAAAATAATGTATTTCTGATAAGGTTTTGGATTACGGGCTTGATTTGCACCACTCTTCTGCCTTTATGCGCTGCCAATTCCGCAGGGATTTAACTGCTCCCAACACCTTGTAGTAAAACTTTAATGAAATAATCTGCGCCTCAGATCCCTCCGCCTACTTGATATTTTACAATGGAAGCCTGAGCACCCCTCTCCCCGGCTTCAAAGCGGATCTTCCTACGCAGCTTTTGGAGGCAGGCAGAATAGACCGAACTGAAAGGGGAAGAAGAAATAATTTTCTACAACGTGTGGCTTGAGGCTCGCAGCTCCCAAAAGGCGCTTTTCTTTTCTGTCCTGGAGTGATTTCGTTTTAAAGGAGAATAAGCTTGCTGGACCTGGCTGGATTCTTTCCCCCAATACCTCCCCTAATGTAAGACAGGCAAAGTATCCTACAAGCATAAACAAAAACGATGGGAGCCTTTGGAGTAATAATACACATTTTGCATTACATAGGACTCTACGTTCAACTCAGTTTCTCTTCTAGACAAGGTGGGCATGTTGAAGTAGAGAACCGCATCTCTGGAAATGGTAAGTAAAACGACAGCCGTCCACTTGGTTTTAAATAAAACAAAATTCAAAGTGAGCCAGTGATACATCGGTGGACCGCGGATGCTGAGCGTGTGAAAATAAATAGACATAAGGCGGTACTGCTTTTGATCGATTTGACGAGGATATTTAATGTTGTCCCTGGAATTTTCCAAGACAGATGTACCGTGATATTTTAGAACTACTTTTAATTTGTAAGATTATTTGACGCGCTCCTTGGATATTTTTAAGTATTTAATTATACATGATAATGTTAACGCATCAGTTATAATATTGCAATCGGTTTTGCCATGCGCATCAATTTCAGTAGATTGCTGATAAAAATGGATTGTTTCGGTTTTACCCAAGGCGTTTTGTGCCAGTGGATTTGCTGACGTTTCAGCGCTGCATTTATATAACATTTTATCTGGATGAGACTTAAACTATATTTTAATATTCACTACTGTGTTTTCACATATAAACTATCGTTGTTAATGCGTCAGCGAGGAATTAAATGTGAACATTTCTGCAATGTAAAGTTTGTCTACGACTGCTTTGGAAATACACAACCGTAAATATGTGGGATGCAGAAATAAGCAAGGGGGAGTTTTATACCATATTAAATCGGTCAAAAAAATCCGACGGACTTTGAACTTTGGTTGCATAGAGATTTGGGTTACTGTGACCAATCTGAAATATACAGCATTTTCGCCTTATCCAAATGTTCCAGGCTGACCTTAAAAGGCACCCAGTATTTCATAGCCGTGTCCTCTGAAATTCCTCACAACGTCTTATTCCGGACATCAAACGGCTGGAATAAAAATGCAGCCTTTGGCCAAGGAAGAGTGGTGCACGATGGCTACCCTAATACAGTCATTTTACAGGTTGTGACATGAGTGTGATCAGTCCTTCAGTGGCCAGCGGCGCGAGGGTGTTACAGTGTCACTGCCTTTGTGCGCCTTCGTGATAGCGGAGGTTTGCAAATCAAGGCAGCAACTGCGCGACAGACGCTCATGAGATCAAATCTGCGATGCGTGTTTTCTTATGGATAAACTTACTTTGTTACAAATCGAGTGTAGTTGCTTATCAAATAAATTCAGTTTTCAATTAAAGGAATGCTTTACATGTACTTTACTGTGGGGAAAATTATATTTAAGTTTTAATATGGGCATCAATGTTCTACATAGTCACGTAAATCTTACTGTTACAGTAACCTATAATAATATAAGTGTTTCTGCCTTCATGAGTACTGGCTGAGAGAAAGGCATTTTCGGCAGCCATGCCGAAAAGCATGTAACAGTTACCTGTAGCAGGGGCGCTATGTGGGATGGGGGGGGCGTTAGGATGATTCCAAGGGTCCCTAAAAATTTGGAACATAATTGGATTGGTTTCAGTTCTGGGCCCAGTATGACGTGTTTTCATTGCACCCAGAATCTCTAGTTGTGCCCCTGATCTGAGGCACTATAGGTGAAAGTAGGGGGGAATTAATTAGCCCTCAAATGAAACCATCGTTTTGTAAGACTCCCTATGTTCAGGATGGTTTGAGTCATGATATGTCTTTTTCCTGTTGTTTTAAGAGCACATCTCCATTACTGGAACTACGATCAAATAGCTTGTCAGTCACATTTCTGCTGTGGATTTTACATGAGCGTATGCATCTTGCTATATTTTCTGATGCCCTTTTCCCTTTCTCTGCACACTGAAGACTGCAGGCACTACAGACCAGCTAACACTGATTATGAGAATCTGATATCTGTGGGTCTGGAGCCGGTCACAGGAGGTACAGGGTTATGAGGCAGGAAAGCACCTTGGATTAGAGGCCAGTCCATCACAGGGCAGATTATATAAATAATCATTATAAACAATCATATAAATAAGCCCGACTCTTGATGTTAGTCTAACGGTACTATTTTGGCATCCAGATTATTTTTCATATTATAAATAAATTGCTTATTATAATTAAAAGATGGTACTATGGTATAAATTTGTTCTCAGTTGCATACTGAATTGTTATTGATTTTTAGGATTATTAGACGTGCTCTCCGGATATTTTTAAGGACTGGATGTTTTAAAAGGTAATTTACATCATTTTCTTATGTTCAAGTCTACAGTTTTTTCACCTAAGAATTTATCTTTTTTCAATTATTGCATGTAGCAGCCATACAAAGAGATGGAACGAGTGTGTATGTATGTGAAGGCTGTGGCACTGCGGTGCTCCAATCCGTTTGGAAGCTCAGCTGTCCAATTATATATTATAACACCATAAATTATGAAGAGGAGCAAATCCTCACCAGCTCAACATTTGTCATAAATGTCACAGATCAGCATATTCATCATTTAAAAAACATGGAAAACATGTGGAAGAATTTCTATGGGGAAGACGAACTGAGATCTTGCAGTTAAGAAAGCATTTGTTGTGAAAACAAACCTTGAAATTGTTTCGCACACAGCTCTTTCAGTCCAAGTATGTATCAGCTGTACATGTGTTTACTTCATTGATGAAAAATGAATAAAATCAATCAACATCCACAGTTTGAACATCTATGTCTGTCTATGCTGGAAAATCAGTCAAGAATTTCCCAACCTGATTTACTGGTGTATGTCCTGTTTATGTGACAGATTCCTGGCACAAAACAATTTTTACATACCAGTCAGTTTTACTTGAACTTTCCTGACCTTTTTTAATGAATTTCCAGTCGAGGAGGCTCCGTCCTTTCAGCCAAGCAGGGAAGCATTTCCTCAGAGCGAGCGCAACATTAATTTAGAGTCGGCGGGCTCTAGTTGGAGACCGCGGGGTGTGTAAAAATGTGCCAAGCGCCAGCGTGCTGCGTTGTGGCCCTTGGATCACACCCTGCGGCGGCATTCCGGTCTGCCCCCATCGTGCTTTTCAGATCCAACATCTACTCATTTACATCCCCTAGTGTGAGTTGTCTGCTGAAATCTTGCATCTGCACCCATTCCCCCCCCCGAACAGCCTATAATCTTGCAGTTCTGCTCCAGTGCAGTGGTCCGGAACCGTGCAGGCACCCAGGCAGGTAGGTCAGGCTCCAGTTCTCGGCCTCTGACTGGTAACGTTGTAGGTTACCATCCTGACCTGTCAGCATCTTGTAACATCTGGCACACAAGGACCTCCTGGCCTGAAAGCAGCAGCTCCATCACTCCTGAGATTTCAGCGCTGGAGTTGTACCCAAGAACTATACTGTCTCATGTCTTGTTTCATATACACAGATTTTGTATAGCTATGAAGCTTTTTTTTTTTTCGCATTACAATTTCTACATAAAAGTGTCTCTTGCGACACTGGGACAGCAGAAGGGCCCCGCGCTGTCTGATAATACAGGCATCCGCCTCCGCAGCCGGCACTGCACCTATCCCATTACCCGCGCACCACGCTGCGGGCGAGCCGGCAAGCTCACGGATCCAGCACTTGCTCTGACTCAGTGGTGGGTCATGACGGTGCCCTGGCGCCTGTGTTGTGTTTCCAGGGGTGGTGGGCTGCGACTGTGAGCTGGTGGGGGGCGGTGCTGAGGCAGTGGTTTTAGGTAAAGGACAACAGGAAATAGTTGAAGGGGAATAATGGTGTCCACAGTTTGTTTATGTATATATATATATATATATATATATATATATATATACACACACACACACACACACATACACACACGCGTAAAGTATTGTAATTATATCTTTGCGGGGACTCTCCATTCATTTCTACAGGATGAAAATCTAATCCCAATATGACAACCTTAACCCCTACCCAGCCCTAACCTTAAGCATAAGTAACCAAACTAAATACAAGACTTTTGCCATTTTTAGTTTTTTGATTGCATTCATAAATCTTTGTGGGGACCTGAAAAATGGTTCCCAAAATGTCAGAATAACAGGTTTTTATCACATTGCGGGTGTCATTTGATCCCCACATTGTAATATAAATATAACCCACACACGCATATACAATATGTATATATACACACACATACACACGTATATTAAATGTTTTGTTTGATCATAAATACTGGTTTAAAAAATGTAAAGGAGAAAAATATTATAATTGTATAAAATCAAATTCCACACAGTTAACGTCGACATCCATTCAATTGTTTAGTGTTTAGTTTACTTTAAAAGGTTATTGAAATCCGACATTTGCCAATAAAGAGATAAAGAACAGTAGGAAAAAAACTGATGAATAGTTCAATTGAAAAATTAATAATTTGAAAAAGCGTGTGATGGGTTTTATAGTGGCTTCTAATCATGCCGTCCGTGGTGTTTATAAAATAATAATGTGAATGCTTCTTAAGTGTCACAGAACAGATATTGCTGTTTTGACGGATTTATTTTGACTTCAGATGTCAATATGCCTCCAAGCACATGTATAATAATGTATAGGCTGTGCTGCCTGAGATTTAGTCTTCTGTGAGGGATTTTTCAAAGGCTTCCCCAGCTGGTCTGTTTTGAAAGGGGCCTGACAGCGAAGGACTGTGTACTTACTGTGAGTCATTATGGAGCCGTTACCAAATCATCCTGTGATGACATGAAAAGCAGAGGAGTGTTGGAGCTCAGGCAGCTGACTGTCACTGCCGGGGTTTTCGCCAGTCTTTTTGGGGGCATTATCATAGAAAAAGCGCTTGAGAGGACCACTGGACTCGTCTTGTGGGTTTGAAGGGATTTGGCGTTAGGCTTAGCTTATCTCTCCTAAGCACATTACAGCCACAGGTGACACGACTGCTTCCTGAGTATCCGTGGGAGCTTGTGTGTGAGGCGTTGTCACACAGGGATGTCTCAGCCGCATTAACTTAAAGACAGTAGAGCAGTGCTGCCTACGTACCTTGTGTATTCTTTTAGCGTAGCTAAAATTCTGCTTTTAAGCAGCTTGAATCTGGATCTATCTATCTATCTATCTATCTATGGATCGAACCATCCATCCGTCTGACTATCCCACCATCCATCCAAATGGTTTGCACCTTGGAATATTTCTGGTTAACTCCACATCTCATTTGCATAGTTA